ACGAACACCTATTCCCAACGGATAAACAATCCTGATCAACAAGAGGTGGATTAAACTCATCCTAAGGAAAGCCTCCACCACCTGTCAGTTTGTCATACTGCGGCAGCTTGCATGTTGCTATGATGCTTGAAGTTATACCACTGGTATTTCAAATACCAGAAGAATCACCATGGTGTACAGGTTTCAGTGGAGCTTTCAGACTAAGACAGACCAGGAAGAAAGGTCTGGAAATCTACTTCTAAAAACTAGGTAATGAAAACCCTATGAATCACAACAGAGTATTGTCTGATATACTGCTGGAAGATGACTCACCAAAGTTGAAAGACACTCAGCAATGGACTGAAACATACCAATGATCATGAAGATGGTGCAGAATGGGCAATGTTTCATTTTATTGTAGATGAGGTTGCCATGAGTTGGAGCCAACTTGACAGCAACTAACAAAAACAACAACAAAGAAAGTCTTGGCCTCTGTAAGAGGTTTTATCCAAGCAGTGTTTCCCAAAGTGTTGCACGGATACCCCCAGTGGTTTAGGGGACTCTTGGCTGAAACAGGAACACAGTGGTGTGCTGGTGCTAACTCCTGGCTTATAAGAACCAACTGTTAACATTTCAGAAGGTTTTGAGCTTGTTGATGTCCCTTTGGTAGCATGAAATCAACTGTGCTAGGAGTATTTACACCATGGAAATCAGCAAACACCACAAGTTAGAGTCTTTGAGAAGGTGAGATTTAAGGAAAGACTTGAAAGAGGGTGAGGGCATTAGCCATGTAAATATGGGTGAGAAGTGAGGTAATAGCCAGTGCAAAGGCCCTGAGGCTGAAGCCAGCCCGATGTGTTTTAGGAACAGCAGGGAGGCCAGTGCTATTGGAATGGAGTGAGTACAGGACTTGAAGCCAGAGATAGGTAACAGGAGGTTAGATCATGAGACTTAGCACAATCTCTGAGAATGTGATCGTTGAATAAGGTGAGGTATGCCAACTAAGTCAAAAGTCAAACCCCTTGAGCAGAGGGCCCTTTCTGGTCTCAACAACTTTCATTTCTATGTATTTCCTTAAATCAAATTGCCTCTTCTCCCCATCATACATTTGATTGAGGGGGGAGAGGTGTGCAAAAAAGGGGGAAGCAAAGCAAGCGTGAGCAAAGAGAACAAGAGGTTTCCCAGGCCTGAGAATGTAAAAATCACAGAGTAGGTAATGGAGCCCATGCATAGTGTGTGAGCCCAAGAGACTTGGGAAAGTGTTTTCTCAGTGGTGATACGCTGGCTGCTTCACCTCCTGGGAAGAGCTTCCCCCTCCACTCTCAACCCTGCCAGCTTAGTCCAAGGAGTCCACTGGCTGACTTAGACCTAAAGCCAGTGAGAACCTCAGTGGATGGGAAGGACATTCAGGTGAAGGGCATCCTAGGGTCATGGATGAGCAGGGACATAGGATAACATCTACCTTTTGTAGCAGAGACTGATTTCTGACAGCATCTAAATGGACAGACCCAAATCTGTCAGGCTGGTCTAGACCATCAACTCACCTCTGGGCCTCTGAGAGTACCTTATTCGTAAGAATTAAATGGCTTATTCAATTCAATTCTGTTTATTGAGCTCTAATTCCTGCCAGCCAGTGCTGGGATCAAAGCAGAATAAGATACCACTCTTGCCCTCAAGGGGTTCCCAAACTAGTGGGGGGCGGGGGAGCAGACAAGTATACTGTAGAGACAGCAAAGTACAGTGATCAAGAACCCAGGCTCTGGGATCAGACTGGGGGTCCCCTGGAGGCAGGGATCACTTCACTACTGTGTCTGCCACAGTGCCTTGGCCTGGAGCTGGTGCTCAGTAAACCTTTGCAGAAAAATAAATAGTAAAAACAGAAGCTGAAGAGCGTCCCTGTGCTTCATTTGACTTCTGATCCACGTGCAGCCTCCATGCCACCCTGCTTTACACAACAGCAATTCTGAGTCCCCACACTTCTCTGGATGCCAACCTCAGATGACCCCAAAGGGTAAAGCAGCACATGTCTAGCGATCTGGGGCAACCTATGAATCAAGAAGAACCATGATGTGCCAGGAACACACCTTATGAGAGAAGATCATGGGAATGTACCCAGCCTGCTTGGGCGTGGCCACTCTCTCCTGCCTGGCTGTGGCCCTACCTTCAGACTCTCAGTCCTTCCTCTTTAGCCAAGGCCAGCATTAGGCAGACCAACTTTTCCCCTGACTCGTATCATGGGAGACCGAAAAGGCTCAGTGAGGAAAACCAAGCTTTCTTTCTCACAGATGCCAGGCAGAACCTGGTAACATCAGAATTGGGTTTATCTAGACTTGTCAGCCTGCGGTCTGCCCGTATTCTCTCCTAAAGCCCTTCTATTTTTTTCCTGGATTGAGGACATCACTGCTGCCTCTGGTAAATTGCCAAAATGGCCAATAGCTAGAGACTACCTTACATTAAATATCCTAGACCTAGACCCAACCGGTCTGGCATTTATCCTTTACCCCTATGTCGCCCTCTGGGTGGAGTCCCTTGGTGGTGCAAATTGTTAATGCACTCAGCGGTGTGAATCCGCCCAGAGGCTCCTTGGAAGAAAGGCCTGGTGATCTACTTCCAGAAAATCAGCCACTGAAAGCCCTATGGAGCACAGTTCTACTCTGACACACATGGACTCACCATGAGTTGAATTTGACTCAATAGCAACTAGTACTGGTAGCCCTCCAGGTGGGCCATCAAGGCTCAGGAAAAGGGAAAACAGTAGCTATTGATTTCTCCCCACCTGCTCAGCCAATTCCCATCTTCCCAGAGCCACGTGATTTGCCCCAGAACCTGGATGGAGGCCCAGGTGAGTAGTGCAGAAACTCAGAAATGCTTACCTGTTGAGTGGGAATCAAGCAACAGAGCAAAAGTGAGTGGCATTATCTAATTGCCAGCTAATTTACATAATTATCGAGTGGCACACTTTTCATGTGGGGTTAACATCTTTGCAAATGTCTCACAATCCGGCTGCTTAGGAGGCAGGGAAGCCTTACACAACTCTGACATGTGGGCTCTTTGCCACA